GTTTGAATCATCAGTGGCAAATTCTTTAAATAGAAAATGTACTTACAGTCTGTGAGTCAGAACAGCCGGCACTGTAGTCTACTATTCCAGGATCAGGAAACAGTCCTCCATAAAATGTGCTGCACACATCTGAATATTTGGGTTGAACTGTTCTGGAACAGTGATTTAAATACAACTTAACCACTGTCGTGTCCTCTTTTGGAAGGCCAGACAAAGTAGTTTCACTTTCACAACGAAACACACAGCGTCACATACGGCGGGCTTGAGTGAGCAGAGGCAGGCGGGCTTGAGAACGGCACGGCTAGCGGATTCGACGAAGGAGCGGCTGGCGGGCTTGTGGCAACCACATGTGATTCTTTACATGCATTTTGACTGCTCTCAGCACCCGTACCGTAAGTGCACAATTACACGCGCAAACCAAAAAAAAAGTGCGGCTGGCTTGACCGTGCATTTTCAAAGCGCGGCTGGCTTGACCGCAGTAGCTGAGGCGGGCTGGACTCCGCTTTGTCCACGGTTAAAGCTGATCCGGCGATCCACAGCACTAAGTTGATGTATTTCCTCAGCGACCAGCAAGGATCAGCTCCAGGCATGACGAAGCGGATATCTTCCTCTTTTTTCTCAAACAAAGTAGTTTCGCTTTCACAACGAAACACACAGCACCTTCACAACATGGCGGCGGCGGCAACAACAATACTACAGCGAGAATAAAAGTTACGCCTTCTTTCTTTGCGTGAACATTTGGGCGGCGTTATGAAAATCTTCCCACATAGTGAGGTAGATATGTGGGGGCGTGTTAGAACGAGCCGTTTTAGGTAGGCGTGGTTGACTCCTAACTTTTATAAAGAATATCTCTTTGGATTTGAGACTTTAGTCTTTGCAACTTTACAGATCTTCTTTATGCACCAAGAGCTTGTAACACTCCAAAGAGAAAGGAAAAATTGAAATCGCATCATATGACCCCTTTAAAGCACTTTTAATGGAAAACTATGAGCACAGTCTAGGGCAGGGCGAAATGGCCAAAAAAATGAAATAAAATTTTTGATATCACTCTATATCGATAATTATCACAATAAATTTCAAATCTTTAATTCTTTAAAGGCAGATTTCTTTTCCTGAGTGAAAAGCTGTAGAAACCAACCCGTTAACTGTGGTGTTAAACTACTCTTTATGGTCAGAACAAGACAACAATTCATGTTTTTGAATTCTTTACACTTTTCCTGTCATCTTAATAGAAAAATTAATTTCTAAGTTTCTGCATGTTGTAATGACTTTCAAATCATGAATCAGGTTTGCGACTTTAATGACGTGTATATCTTCAGCACAGTTTGCAGTGCAGGCTGCAGTATTAATAGTATTAAATTTTTGTATCTCTTAGAAATGCACATTTGACAGTAGCTTGAGTTGACAATAGTAGTAGCTTGAGTTAGGATGCAGATGTATTCTGACTGTTTGAGTTTTATTAACATTAACCATTAGTCTTCCATGACAGCATACATTTAGATCATGATAAACAAAGTTAAAACCACACATACAGCACTTCAATATCATGGTAAAAATGTAACTATATGGTTTCTAGGTATTTGTATGAAAAACAGTAGTCTAAATACATTTAGTATAAATGCACAAACGCTATAGCTTAATCACACAAAATACTGTAATTATGTGCAATTACTCCTTTAATACATTTAATACATCTACATTAATAATATAATCAAATTTGATATGAATATCCCAAATTTCTGCCACAATAGCATGGTGCAGTTAGTGCTACTACAGTAAATCCACGGTAAATGATGTTAATTTGTCGATTGAAAAGCCTTCTGACAGTATCGGTGCGCACAGTGTTTCACTTGTCAGTGCTGTTTCATCTGCCTTTAAACTAGTTTAAATCAGCGAGTCATCTGTGTTCTTCGCTGAATTCAGTTGCTTCACACTGGATCTCACAGCACTGTTTAGTGCTCGTATGACCGAGACTTATCAGCGAGTAAACGCATCTGCTCTAGTGAGCTCGCGCTGTGCTGCCGTTTGAACTTTGAGCCGATCAGATAAATGGTCCGTGTGGTGCGGTTCAAATGAGTAGCACTGTTTCGTTCCACTTTTGGCGTATAAACATATTTATCGAACTCTTGTTATCATTTTATCGAGGAAAATTATAGCGCGATAATTATCGTTATCGTTTTATCGCTCCGCCCTAGTACGGTCTCACAAGAGTGTACACTATTCTAATTACTCTTCACAAAACTTTTTACTTTTTGTCTTAAGGTGTTAAACCTATTAAATTAGCACCAAACTACTGAATGCACCTTTAACCACTAATTTTTTAGAATGGGACTTTTAATGAAAGTGAAGGTATTTGTTTGCTTGGTATGGCACAATTTCAACCAATTAATCTGGATTTTTTTTTCATCTATTTACAGTCCAAAGTCAAAAATACTAAACAATTTCTGTCAGTTTTCCCACTAATCATTGTCAACTAGACAGAGACAGACACATATATACACGGTTTTCACATTTATACAAGTGACTCACCTAAACACTCCTCTTTCAGCACTCCGTTCTCGTTCCTCTCCTCCCAGTCCATTACTTCTTTATAAATCAACTCTGTAATGAGGGAAAAACCCCAAGAAACTATAAGCAGAGTTTTGTGTCTTTCCATCATTTTACAAATCCCTAAATACTATTCATCCCTTCAGCACACATTTAGATCACAAACTTTTAGGGTCAAGACTCAAAAACTATTCCATTACTTTAGAATAAATGAGAATGCAAATGATCTTGGATCAATTCACCACAGTAATAATTTCTGCTGTAGGCATTCATTTTCTACAAGAAGCTTATAGCTCAGCAGGAGGTAGTGACAGCAGAGGGCGTTTGTACCTTTCCACTGCTCAATGCTGTGTTCCCGCTCCTCCAACTGCTTGTCTGATATCTGCGGAGGAGGCTGAACACATAAAACAATCATTATACATCCTAGTCATTTTAAAAATGTCCCCTGTAAAACAGTTTCAACTGGGCTGGACAGTACAAAGAGATATGAAAGGTTAGGGGTGCACTGACCGTATCGGCCTCGGCTGGGTCGTACCACACATGGATGTAAGGGTGACTGAGGGCCTCCTGCACAGAGATGCGGCTTTCAGGGTCGATTAAAAGCATCTTGGACAGCAGGTCTCGTGCTTGACTAGCTACATTAGGAATGATGTAAAACGTCATGCGTCAAAGCAATTTTTTAAAGTACACCATTAACAGATGTGGAAGAAAACTTTGGATGTCTTACTTTTGATCTGGTCATGCTCAGTCTCTGAAGGGAAGGCCCAATCGGGAAAAAGCTCGTTAAAACTGACTCCAGGAAACTGGGGTTTGTTCATCACATAGTTCCTTACAGTCTCCATCAAACGGTTCATAAACTCCAGAGAGGGGGTTCCCACAAATTTACATATCATGAATGTTTTAATTTGCATTGAAAATTTACATTTATATAAATGCATAGTTTGTACATTTTCACAAGTGAATATGTTGGAAAGGCTAAAGTTCAATAGTAAAGAGGATACGATCAGTGCCCTGGAATATGACACTTCCTTTGACCATCTCACCCATGATGCAACCCACCGACCAGATATCAACTGGCAAAACACAATCAAATATTAATACCACAATTTTATTTGGATCTCTCCGTTGATTTTCAAGAGTATTACGGACAAAAAAAAAAAAAAAAGGTTTTACCATTCTCCTTATATTTCATGCCCAAGATGACCTCTGGTGCTCTGTAGTATCTGGTTACTACGTAGGGCGTCATCATGAAGTTAGTGCAGGCGGTTCTGGCCAGCCCGAAGTCTAGGATCTTTAAGGTGCAGTCAGACTTCACTACGATGTTACTGGGCTTCAGATCCTGAGGGGCAGAGATGACAATTTCATACTGTCATGCTGAAAAACATCTCAGGCGTTGATATATTGTAAGGTAAAATGATTTAGAGAACACAGTTGGTGATGTGTCATGCTGGATTTGGTCTTCACTTATTTAAAGAAAACATTTGGTACAAACCATAGGATACAAATGATAATAGTAGCTGGCTATTTTACAATGCATGTACTAAACAAATTGTTTTCTTGAGATGTTAATTGGTTGCTCCGATTACATATGAACAGCATCTTATAAACAACTAGAAGAGAACAATTACACATGCAGACGTTAGATACAAATAGTTTTGTAATGTTACTGCTTTATTAATGCAGATATCACTTAAACTTTAATACATTTAGAAGCAGTATTCCAGCAACATCCACGTTTTTTCCAGTAACCCAAAGCTTCATATTACAACAGTCAGAGTCAGTCAACAGTCAGACCCACAGAGTAAGGTTATTATAGTTTTGAAATTTTAATTTAGTTAAATTTTAATTTCCATTCTATTTTCAGTTAAATTTAGCATTAGTTTTCACATAAGTTTCTCAATTGTTTTTTCTTAGGTGTAGTTTTAGTAAAAGTAGAGTAGAGTGAAAGTTAACACATTAATCACTGTACAATTGTGACATGGCTCTCTGGAAGGTTTGAATCTGATCAATGGCAATGGCAGCATTATGATATGAAGTTACATATTTTAGCATAATGACCACTGAACTGTATAATCAAACTTTTTTTTTTTACATAGTTTCGCTAACTTCTCACAAAATGAAATAATTTCACTCAAATCGATATTTCAACTACATTTAAGTAGCCACGCTAAGTGGGATAATTTAATTTTTTATTTAATTTTATTGCTAAATTTGATAATTTACAGAGCACCAAAAACTAAAACAAAAAAATAAAGGTTAGTTAACATTTCTTTTTATTTTCTGTTATTTATTCTAATTATTTTAGCCTTGTTTTTACTTAATTGTCATAGGAGTTAACCGATAATAAACTTGCCACAGAGAACATCTCACCCTGTGAATGATGCCAGCTGAGTGTAGATGTCTGATGCCACACAGGATCTGGTAGAGCAGGTAAGACATCCTCTCATGGTCCAGGTCCATGTGGATCACCTGACAAAGGCTAGCGTCCATCAGTTCCATTACCAAGTACCTGAGAGAAACCAGATTCTTCACAGTTTCCTGTGCTCACGTATAACTCAAATGATCTCTTACATGCATAGTACTGACTAGCATATAAAAACCCCAGACCCCAAGCTTAATGCTTAATAGTGTCAGCAACACTTCTATAAAACACAGCAACAGAAGTGCTGTTGTCAGGATTTGTAATTAATCTTGATTTAATAACATATAATTTTCTATTCTAAAGCTATAATTATCACACGCAGCAGTAGGACAGCGTAATTCATCAGTTCCTCTTGAGAGTGCATTGTGGTCTCAGCAAAACTATGAATGTTAATAACAACGCCAAAGGACCAATACACCCTACGGCCATACAAACTCAGCTTACACTAAATGACAAGGTCAGCATAAACACATTAATTTATAAACTCAAAACTTACAAATCCTGAAACTCTTCCAATGACTTCTGGGGTGTGAAGACATTAAGCAAACGGATGATCTGGAAGGGAAAGGATGAGAAAATAAATCTGGACTAATCTACACATAACAATCAGCTTGACAACAAAGGCCAACATCTCATTACCTGTTTTTAAGTCATAAGCAACAGTCACTGGCCAATTAGCAGCGATCAAATGAATAATTTAACCAAATAAGCTTACTGGTTGCTGATTAATCAAAAAGAACTAATGGTAAAAAGGTCATGTACAACATTTATACTGCTTTTCAATTCCGAGTCGTTATAAAGTTTTGAATTATTCTGTGTATTTTCCATACAAGCTATTATTAACAGTAATTACCAGTATATTAAATGTAAATTCATACTAAACATTCTAACTGTATTATAATACAGTGGGCTGAATATTTATTGAAGTATTTAATAATAATAATAATAAAAATTTTACAATACAATAGTAAAATTACAATGCTAACATTCATGGCTGTCTTAATTTCACACATTTCTTGAATCATGTAAACAACCTATTTTGGATTCAAAACCATTTTTAATTTTTTTAAGTTAAGGGTAATGTTATTTCCAAGAATTACATCTGAATTTAGCTCATATGTTCATGTAGGACTTCTGTTCTTATTTTTAACTTCATATTGTTTTCTCAGCCAAAATTGGCCGTTCAGTGACAGGAAATTGGAGAGAAATGTCAGAGGTAGTTGCTCAGTCAGTCACCTCTCTGACATTCTTAACCGGTGAGTGTGACAGAGCTCTGACATCCCAGCAAAAACAGCCTGTAGGTGTGATAGCCCTGACCAAATCAGTGCACTGTTAAGGGGACGTACATTCTTGTGATTAACACACTTGAGCAGAACCAGCTCTCTGTAAGCCCTCTTCGCATGGGTCTGGTTCTGAAAGGGCCGGCTCAGTTTCTTCACAGCGACTGGGATGCCAAGTACAGTGTCCAGAGCGGAGCTTTATGGGGCAGAAAAATGGGCACACTGACATGATCACAATCATCATTGTAGTTACCATCATTGGTTCAAGTATGATTCACATCCATATTTATGCATTTATGATGTCCTATTATACCTCAATTCACTTTTAAATGCCCTTTTGTATGTCATTATGGTATCAGACATTTAGTGTCCATCTCCTGCAGTAAACAATATAGACATGCAGCTAGCTGTAAAATCCCTCTTATTACAGCAGCTGTAAATCAGGGATCCAAATCTCTAATGAGACATTCAGGTCAATTACAAAAACACATCTGCTGCGCTCATAACAAATGGAGACAGGCAATGCCTAATGGGATGATGACATCATTAGTATGGAGGCAGATAAAACTGTTAATTCCAGCCGCGCACTCACCAGACGATACCCTGGGCACCGGATCCGATGGCGCGGAGCTGCTGGTACCTTCTGAGCACCGTAAAGGTGGAGTCACCCACCTGCACGCTGTAGAACTGCCCCTCCCCCTCGGTCATGGCTCCTCCCACTGAGTGCCTCTAGATGAATCAAACCTGAGAGAGAAAGAGCACAGTACATGAGAGCGATGAAGAGATGATGTGAGATGTAGCAGTGATGATTGCACACTGAGCTCACTCCCCCCTGTCCCCCGTGTGTAGGGGATGACATTGCCGATGACTCATCCAAGGAGAATCAGATGTAATGCATAGCCATACTGAATGACACAGGATACCTATAGGATTCCATTAGGCCAGTGATCGAGCACAAAGATAAAAGCCATGGTCCACTGACAAGCCATTCTTAATGCATTTAAACAAACACAAAAACCACAAACAGAGCACAGTACATGAGAGCGATGAAGAGATGATGTGAGATGTAGCAGTGATGATTGCACACTGAGCTCACTCCCCCCTGTCCCCCGTGTGTAGGGGATGACATTGCCGATGACTCATCCAAGGAGAATCAGATGTAATGCATAGCCATACTGAATGACACAGGATACCTATAGGATTCCATTAGAGAGTCAAGCCAGTGATCGAGCACAAAGATAAAAGCCATGGTCCACTGACAAGCCATTCTTAATGCATTTAAACAAACACAAAAACCACAAATGAATGATGTCTATGCTTCACACTTCCCTGAACTGTGCAATCCTTCTCTCGCTTCTCTAATTAGCTACAGTTAATTACAGTAAAGGATCTGAACTAACCCCTAGGTGTGTAACAGTATGCCAAAATTATGGTTTGGTATGGCACCTCAATTTTGAAGTTACCGTTTGGTATGTTTTTGGTACATCAGGGAGAAAAACAACATAAAATTGCTTTTTTTCTTTTTTATTAAACAGTGGTTACTTTAAGAAAGAAAAAAAAAAAGACTTTCAAGTCTGTCAATACTTCTGCAACACACACTTCATGTGCAGTTTATGGTGCTGTTGTAAATGGGGAAAGAGATGAAGTGCTTACAAAATTAATGATATCGCAAAGTGTGCACACATTATTAGACAAAACTATGTTCCTTGTATTAGGCCTTAAAGGTGCCATAGAATGCAAAAATCACTTTTATAAGGTGTTTGAACACAGTTGTGTGGCCGCAGCGTGTGAAAACAACCAGCCTATAATGGTAAAAATCCACCACTCATCGTTTTCTTGCTGTAGCTGCTGGAGGTACAATGTCAGCGCCAAAGAGCCATTAAAAGTGTAGTGTGTTGGGATGCACCAACGAACATAGGAGTCTCCATAGACCGCTGAGGACACGGTGGTTAAATTTCATTTTCGAAGGAAATGTGCCAGAAAAAAACCCGGAAAAGTCCTATAAGTTTGTGCTAACATTTTACGCCGGACTGCCTCACAAACGAGGGTCAGTTCAGCGCTGGAGTTGAGCAATGATTGCTTCTGAAAGAGGGATCGATACCAACGCTTCATGCGCAAACGTCCAGACTTCAGAAAAAGTAAGCATCACGCGCTACCATTGTCTCTGCCTTTTTTCACTAATGCTGCCTTCACGTGCTACCAGAATGATCGTAAATAGGAATGTGGTAGTTAAAAATTGCATTTGGAAGCAATGTGAGGTCAGTAACACGGTCACCACCAGTTAAACCGTAACACCGGTATGCCCGCGAGCATGAGCTCTTGAAGCTCCACACTCTTCTAAAAAGGGAGGCGGGAGCACCAGCTAATTTGCATTTAAAGGGGACAAACACAAAAAAACAGTGCGTTTTGGCTCATGCTCTAAAAGTGGCAATTTCAACAAGCTATAAAAAATATCTGTGGGGTATTTTGAGATAAAACTTTACATACACACTCTGGGGACATCAGAGAACAATTTAAAATATTGTATCAATGCATTCTATGGCACCTTTAAGCAAAAATATCACGGTTTCATGGTATCACGGCATTGTCGTCGTTAAAGCTCTAAAATGTGTGGGTAAAAAAACTTTTTTCCGTTGAACACTATATTTTGTTTTGAGCAACATACAGAATATTAGGAAGGAACAGTAGAATTTTTTTATTTTTTCTTTGATTTGTTTCCTAAAAAGAAGAAAAATAAAGACTGACATCTTTATTTAACCTAAATCTGTAATTAGAGTTATTTAATTTTAGTTATATAATTCATATAATTTAGTTATATAATTTCATATACATAATTTGATTTAATAACCCAATTTGAAGCAAAAACAGAATGTTCTGACTAGCTTTGTGAAATTATACTACATGCCTGAACGAAGCAAACAGCAGAAGCTCTGAATGAGATGCAGATTCACTCTCTGACAGCAGGAGGCGCTTCTGGAACACCAGATACTGCGTTTCCTTGGTTACCGCTGTAAACAAAGCAGCACTGCACTGAAATACTGCTTTAATATGAACTATACAGAGACCAGATGAAAAGAAAATACCACGT